CACTGCACCGCGCCAGTGCAAGGCCTTTAGTCCCGGTTGGTGGCACGAGCCGGGTGCATTGGTACCGGTTGGTGGTACCAACCGGTACCAATTACCACCTTTTAGTCCCAGTTGGTGCCACCAACCGGGACTAAAGGCCTCTGCTTCCCGCCCTTTGGGCTGCTGAAAAGAGGCCTTTGGTCCCGGTTGGTGGCACCAACCGGGACTAAAGGGGTGCATTGGTCCCGGTTGGTCTCACGAACTCGCACCAACGGTCTGCCTATATAAGCAGCAGTCGTGAAATTTTGGTTCAGTTTCTTCCCCGCCCGCCCGACGCCGCCAGGCTGCCCACCGTATCCGCCTCGCCATCGCCATCGTCGCCCCGCGCCGCCCCGATCACCGCGCAGCCCCGCCCCCCGCCCCCCGGCCATCGCCAGTCGTGAAATTTTTTTCTGTTCATAGAATTTTTATGATTTTTTCTGTTCTAATTTTGTTCATAGAATTTTAATGATTTTTTTGTTCATAGTATTTTCTTTGTCAATTTATTGTGTATGTATAGGAAAATTGTGAATGATATAAGTCATTTATGAATATTTTCATATTTAGAATAGAGGAAAAAGGAAAAAACTAGAAGAGAAAGTGTTTAATCTAATTAGTTAGAAAAATAATAGAACTATAGTTAAACTAGTTTATTTTTAGTAAGTACTACTTTATTTTATTTATAGTAAGTGCTTCATATATAGTTGAACTAGCTAGTTGATTTAATAAACTACTTTATTTAACTATATATAGAAGTAGTTCCCGCATTGACATCGGCGATGCCTATCCCGTATCCTCGTCGTCGTCGACTCGGCGGTGGAGGCCTGTTTGATTAGGGCCATGTTCGGGAGTGGGCTCCGCCGGGCTGGTATTGGGAGGTGCTACCTTCCGGGGGACGTAGGTTGGTGAGGAGGCAGCCCGTTGTTGACCCGATTCTTGTTTGGTGGCGGTCGCGTGGGCCAGTGACGGTGCCGAGGCTTCCGGACACCGCGGAGGTGGTACGTCACCGTGTCAGCGAGGAGGACGAGCACGTCCGTCGCTACATGGTTGCATTGGAGGGCAGGTTCGACAATACCTGGTAGGTTCTTCAGGGATCTCACTGGAGCTATGATCCTGTGATTGTTCCTTATCTTTGGGTGTCCACCGCCCGCGACGATACCCGTCGGGCGCTACAGTTCTAGCTATATTAGTGATGCTATATGTATGATAGTATTCGAGGAGTATTAGTGATAATATTTGACGATGTACGGACACAAGAGATGATGTACTTTTGCTTATAATTGAATGCATGCTAATTTGAATACTACTTTATTTTATGATTTGGTTTTGCTTATTGAATGCTCATATTGGAAAAGTACTCCTACTTTGAATGCTAAAATTGGAGATCACTATGCAGAAATCTTGGAGCCCCCTCCATCATCCACTCCATCGTGGGGGTAGCTTCTCCTTCATTCTGGTGTGCTAGACAATTTGGTGTAATAATGCACTCGGGAATGAAAGGAGGAGCTACGTACCATCACCTATAGCCAACCCGTGATTAATAATAATGATCTAATTTAGGTTTTTTAGTACATATATTTAATTGTACAAGTTTAATATTTGAATTATGAACATAGGTTGGAAATGTCGTACTCGGAGACGAAAACTGCCCGGGGGAGTGCGACTGGTGCCACAACGACCGAGGTATGTGCGACAGGTTCATTGAGCTGGATGAAGATCGGCGCTTCAGCATTAAGCTCGAGGAGACCTTCGATGTTCATATGGTACGCAACGACGACAATAGTTTTTTTTCGTAATTATGCACGACTTCAACTATTTTAACGTGTATTTTTCATCTTTTCCAATTCGACTAGCTTATCCCATGCTATGCAAGACGCTATGTCTTGGAGATGATGGATTTTGAAGACCATGAAAGTATGGAAACCAAAAAAATTCTCCTAAGGACGCATCATGGTGTGGATTTTTAAGTAAAGCTGTACAATGCTGAGAGTGTAACCCATTTTGGTTGCAAAAAATGGGAAGCACTTTGCAAGATGTATGGTTTTGATGAGGATATGCTTGTCACCATGGATCTTGGTGATCCTACAATGGAGCAAGACAGACCTTCGATTTGGGTCCTTGTGGATACACCTCCAATTCTTCCCCCATGTGAGCTTAAAATAGTTATTAAGTAATTTATATTGTTTATTTCAAAATAGTTGACAGCTTATTTCCATTGACAGCTTATTTTCATTCTTCAAAGAATGTGCGGAAGATGGTAGAAAAAATCCACTACACCGATGGCTCCGAATTAATTTATAGGGAGAAAAATCATCTGATCGCATTTTGTACTGATCTTGAGAATTACAATGTCTACAATTGAACTCCTCAACATTATGGTCAATACGTGCCACTAGTGCACGTGTTGAACTACGGTAACTACCATGGAGATACCCTGCTAAGATTTTTTTACTATTACGACATCCTTGCATCTTTTTGCACACTTTTAAAACTAGTACATCATTGCTAACTATGAAGTTATTACTATGTTTTTCAACAGATAATCCCGAATGATTGTGTGCCTCATCTGATGTATACGCACGGTAGCCTTCATGTTTTGAACATACAACCAGGTCTTCCTACGAATCTCAACTGTCCATACAGGGTTTCTAAAAGAAGTGGAGACATGACAATCAAAGAATGGAAAAAATGTGTGGACAGTCGTACGGAGCTTCTTGGAAGCAAAAGGCAGCGAAGCGCAAGAATTGGAGACAGGATAATCTCCATTCTTCATAATGGAGAGTCAGGGTCTATATTGTTTTATGCTATTTTACCTTAAGGGTGTTTAGGTCCTACCTGGTACTGATGATCATGTGCTAAGAACAATTATGTAGGGTTGGGTTCGATGACTATGAGGATGAGGATCGTATGACTCATTATTAATAACGAGTAGAAGTTGTATGATGATGTATGATTAGTAGGACTTGTTATTATATATGATGATGTATGATGCGAGCATGCATGAGTTATTATATCAGCAGGTGACATGAACATAGCAGCAGCGTTGGTAAACCAAGGACGAAGATATAAGAGAGGACACTTCTCTCTATTAGCTAGCTAATAACAACCTAAAAATAACCCCCCAAACCCCTAAAGCAGCCAATTTTTTTTTAGAAAAAAAGAAAAACATTAGCTCCAGCCAGCTGCTGACGCGTGGATGCCTTTTGGTCCCGGTTGGTGCCACCAACCAACCGGGACCAAAGGCCTCCCTGACTGGGCTCGGCGCACTGGCCACGTCGAGGCCCATCTGTTCCGGTTCGTATTAGAACCGGGACTAAAGGGGGGAGGTATTAGTAACGACCCATTAGTCCCGGTTCATGAACCGGGACTAAAGGCCCTTACGAACCGGGACAAATGCCCCCTTTTCTACTAGTGTAGCCACGCAAATGCCCATTTCATAATCCCGTCCCTGCTTGCACATCCAATGGGCATAATCTCTCGCTCAGATTAACTTCGTGAACTTGAGATCTCGGCGGAGGGACCGAAGTCGCAAAAATCAAAGGAAAACAGAAAATAGAAGAAATGAATCATATCGACACAAACATGCAACGTAAGTATTTTTTTTATTTTTGTTTTTGATGACGGTAAACATGCAAGTATTCACCCCTGCCATCTAAGGATATGCTTATAAGAGCATCTTCGACATAGGCACAAAAATATGAAGCGCTAAAATAGTTTTACAGCACCACTATAGCACTTTTAGCGCGCCGCGGCCAACATTGGTTCTCTACATGCCAAAAACACGCGCTCAAAAAAACACGCAGTGCAAAATATGAAGCGCACGATCCGGCACCTAACATTTACAGTGTGCGATAGCGCTTTTTAGCGCACACACCATTTTGCAGCATCTGCTGGAGCATCCCGGCGCCAAAAAGGATGGTTTTTAACGCGTGAAGCAGTTTTTGGGTGCATGTTGAAAATGCTCTAATGATTGACGCCTTTATGCACATGCTTAACTGCAAGTGAGTGCATTGCAACAGTTTATTCATTTTTTTTTTGAGGGATGCAACAGTTTATTCAGTCTCTGAAACCAAACCACTGGTGGCTTGGTCCAACGGATCTCAAGTTTTTCTGAACGGATCAAGGGAGGCCTTTCTTTTTTGACGCGTGAGCATCCAGCAATCGCGTGTGAGAAAAGTGGCCAGCAGTCCTTGCAGCAGTAGTACACACGTAAGAACCAGCAAGTGTTAACATATGATTTTGCCTTGAACAGCACAAGATTCTTCTAGCGATAAGCCCGAATACCTCTTCTTTCGACAGTAACATACATACCCACGCGTAGCCCTTCAGTTTATGTTCCGTTCACTTTTCACCTTTTCCTTTGCCATTTAGCGTTAAGATTACGGCCGTGTGCATCCTTCGATAGTTGTTCTAGAAGTTTGGTCGCCGCCTTTCCTCCGCCGCTAGTTTCCCGTGTGAAGCAAAACCTTTCATTTTCTCCAACCGTTTGAAATGGACGTGGAGGGCTCGAGTTCCACGAACAAGAGCCATCAGAAACAATAAAAGTTTGGCACTTCTTCCACTTGTGCGCCCATTTCCCTTTCGGTCAGAATCATTGCTCCTTTATGGAAATTCTACTTGGCAGCCTCTCGACGAGACTTTCAGGGGAATATTGGGTGCGATATGTTCCTGCAGAAAAATATAAACATATACTGTACTAGCATATTGGAAGGGAATCACGCTACATTTCCTTTTCTGCGTCCTGCTCAAGAATCCAATGCCTTTTGCCTCCTCCCAGTTGCGCAAGTGCGTGCGTGCGTGCGTGTGTGTCTCTATATATATAGGCCCGGCGGCGACCATCGGTAATACCGTGCCATCAAGAGCAAAAACAAGCAGCTGTGTAAGTTCAGCTTGAGATTAGGATACAAGCTCCCTCCATCTCACCCAAGAACAGGTTAAGAAATTAGCTTCTTTCCTGGAATTTTTGGTGGTTCCTAGCGGAAATGGCGCTGAGGAGGATTGTCAAGGAGCTCAAGGACCTGCAGAGGGACCCGCCGACCTCCTGTAGCGCAGGTGATCATCTGATCTCTAAGCAAGTTCATCATCTTCATGGGCATCACCACCACCATGATCGTTATCGTTCTTTTATGCAGGGCCGGTGTCGTCGAACGACATGTTCCACTGGCAGGCGACGATCATGGGGCCGAGCGACAGCCCCTACTCGGGCGGCGTGTTCCTGGTGACCATCCACTTCCCGCCGGACTACCCGTTCAAGCCCCCCAAGGTGGCCTTCAAGACCAAGGTGTTCCACCCCAACATCAACAGCAACGGCAACATCTGCCTCGACATCCTCAAGGACCAGTGGAGCCCCGCCCTCACCATTTCCAAGGTAACGATAATCAGTTGATCATCTATCTTATCTATCTATCCGCAATTACGATGATGGTGGTGATGATGGTATTGGCGCATGGATGCAGGTTCTGCTGTCGATATGCTCGCTGCTGACGGACCCCAACCCGGACGACCCGCTGGTGCCGGAGATCGCGCACATGTGCAAGGCCGACCGGACCAGGTACGAGTCCACGGCCAGGGGCTGGACGCACAAGTACGCCATGGGATAGATAATGAAGAGCTTCAGCTCGATCGAGCTTGAAGATGTGGAAACCATGTACCGATGAATAATAATCAATCAACCTTTTGCTTCAAATTATACTAGCTGATGCTGAGTATGAACTTAATCACCGTCAGTCCTCTCCCGTGCGAAGGGTTGTTCGCACAAGTGACACGCAGAGAGCATACACTCACCCCTATAAATTTAGAAAAATACGAGCACCAGTGTCAAGTCTAGGACATTAACTCTGTTGGCCTAGGGATACAATTGTCATTCTAACCATCCAACCACATGATGGTTTGCGTTCCACATGTACTGATTGCAATAAAAATTAATTATTGCTCATATTTTGTTGTGCTAACTATTGAGGTGATCGACACGTGCATTTCTGCCAATATTCTATACTCCGGTGTACTAACTATTGCTTTTTCTCTTGAATTATTTGCTCCCATAGTTGATGGGTATTAAATTAAATCATTTCCACATAATATATATGTATATATATATATATTGTAATAAAAATATTTAAGAAAAAATATATCTCTCCACCATTATTAATTAACCCTGGTTTAAATATTGTTTTCTGAAATGATGACAAAACCTTTGCCTCGTCTATTAATTAAGAAGAGAGTATAATTTGAATTACAAGGCCCCGAGTTACACCAAAGTGTTACTCTCTTAAAATGATGGTTCCCAATTTTTTCGGTCCGTGCTAACCCATAACTTGTCCTCGAACTTATATTAGATCAAGTTTTATGATGATTGGAAAAAATAGGAGCCGTTCATCCAAAGCAAGGGACAAATCGAAAACAGAGAGGTCATGGGCACGACCAGTAAAGGCAATGCGAGACTGCGTCAGAGACATCGTCGACGAAGGTGGGGCGGAAGGTTAACATGTGAGGGTGCGCGAGGGGTGGGGGGGGGGGAGGATAGTCTAGTCAGTCCCCAGAAGAATCACATGCCCACAGATTAAAAGACGATAGAAATATGGGAAAAGCTTATGCTCAACCGACCAGTCTTTTCTCTCACGCCCGCCATGTGTCTTCATGGACCCTGGTGTTGGGAAATGTAGTAGAAAAAAATCACCCTACGATCAACCAGGAACACTATGAAGATACAATAATGTTTTGGATCGGATTGTTACCAACTCCGAGTTGCAGCGGAAGAAGACAAGTCGGGTGTAGATCGTATTTGAACTCTCTCGAACCGTTCACGAACAATCCCTCGAATGGAAGATCGAAAGAAAAACCTCTCCACAATTTGCAAGCGTATGATCTTCACGATCCGCAACGCTTCACCATCTAGAGCTAATCGCCGTCAACGAATTAGAGGGGGAGATTAGAACCACACTGGGCTTCTAATTATAAGGATTAGACAGGATTTAGATCTAGCTCTAATTGGATCAACTAGAACTAGAACTAGAGAACTAGAGGAGCTCCAAAACTTTTGACAACAAAAGGCCAGAATCCTCTAGTATATATAGGTCTTGAGAGGGGAGGGGCGCCATACAAGGAAGGAAGGAAGGACTCCCTCCTTGATGCGCTGGCTAGGGGGAGGAGTCCTTCCGCCTCTCCAATTCGGCCCCCTCTACCTTGTCATACAAGGTAGGGGTGCCCCCAAGTGTTATTGGGCCCAAGGGCCCAATAACTCTCCAATACTTAGCTTTTTAGTATTTTCTTTAGCCCGTTGATATTGAAATAATTGTAAAAGCCTCCTAATTATTATTAGAGCCTTTTGTAATTAACTTAACATCTCCAAAAATGTTTTCCACCTATATATCAATTACCGGTATTACCCGGTAAACCCCTAAACCCTCCCGTAACTCGCAAACTCTTATGGTTCCTCTCGAAACTATTTCAAATTGTAATTAAAGTATTTTATAAATATTTTCATAACTCTTACTCCATTAACACTCAGCAGATCATCATTATCTTAAGCTTGTGACCCTGTAGGTTCAGTAAAACATATTCATGAGCAAAACCCCTTCCGTTCAATGATCGATAGCGGAACCGTGGACATCCATATCGCTCCCTATGAGTACATGAATGATATTTGAGTGAACCTTTGTTATCATGTGCTATTCCCTTTGCTTCGCGATATTTTACAAAACCCGAGGTGAGATTTATCGGCATCCTCTTGAGTCATTCTCATGCTCACTATACCGGTCTCCTCGTTACTGGTTTTGTTCTTCTTTCTCGCTGACATGTTCCGGCATCCCCGTGACCTAGTCACATGTGTCTGGCCAGACGATGATGGATGTCGTCACACTGAGAGGGTTCTAAAAATATATCTCCATCGTCGGAGGAGCAAATTCCACTCTTGAGCTATCTAGCCCCGTGTCAAACTTTCTGATGAACATGTAAGTCGTTGTTATGATCACTGTGTTACAAATGACGTTTGAGCAACCCCAACATCAATCGTACGGTAAGAAGTGCTTACGGTACTATGATGGTCTAAGGATCTAAAGCACACGCTAACTCCTAGTGTTTTAACGATTGACTTGTGACGATTGTATCTCAAAGTATAACAAATAAGTTTTGGGTCTATTCAATATGATCGTTCTTCCAACGTCATATTCCCAAAGTTGTTTTCGGACTATCTTATACTTAACGACATCTTAAGGTCCGAAAAACATGATCACTAACAACGCTGGAGCTAGTCTTAAAGGTGAGACTAGGAATTAGGTTTTACCGTTTATCATTCTACACCATCGGGTCGGCCTCATGCAACGGAAGCCACTCGTCCCTGCCAGGCCGTGCGACCGCACGCCGGTGAGTTTCTGCAACAACCACAACAGAGTTGCAAACCGACGACAACGACGTCGGTGCTGCTGCAACATTCTTTCATTCCAAAAAAAAATCTGCAACATCATCCATGTTGCAAAAATTCTTTCCGCAACATCATCTCTGTTGCAAAAAGGTGAAGCAAAAAAAAAATCTACAACACAACATCTGTTACAAATATTTCCGCAACATCATCTCTGTTGCAGCACGGTGAAGCTAGAAAAAGAGAATTCTACAACACAACCTCTCTTACAAATGTTTACGCAACATGAGCTCTGTTGCATAGGCTTCTGCAACAGATCCGCCAGATCTAATGGCTGCCGAGGTGGCGGACCGGCCGACACGTAGCACAACCTTAGAGATATAGAATAGTATTTGTAGCTAGAATTGTGGTTTGACTTGTTGTAGTGTCCAGGTTTTGTTTGATGGATTGGGTCGGAACGGGGATGCGCATGTTTACAGGCTAGCCTGGAATAGTAGACGATGATAACACATATTGGTTGACAAGGCGAAGCTTCAACATGTGAGGTTGTGAGGAGCCCTGGCCACCTTTGTATGCAACGAATTTCTGGTCTCTATCTTGCGTTGCTGGAGGGACGTGCGCGACCAGCCGTCTTGGACCGAGTCTGTTCTGACGTATCTTGCCTTGCTCCACATCACCACATGCATGCACGGCCGGCCGGCCTGATTAGTGGACCTCGACGCCGCTAGAGAAAGATAAGCCTACCAGCACTTGTCCACAACCATCCATCGATCAGCTGTAGCCAAGGATTCTCCCGCATAATAAAAATACAAAACAAGAAACAACTGCATGCAGCCAAGGATTCATAGTATACTTTACATCTGATTTTCTTAATATAACTCATGTTTTCTTGATTAAGAGTGCTAAACAAAGCTCTCCTACGGTGGCCGCGGCACAGCGGCAGGCTTTTTAGCTTCACCCACGGGGGAGGTCGTCCGATACAGCTGGTGCCCGTGACGTTCAAGAAAGAGTTCACGGGTATATGAGTGGTCATTAGGGCATCTCCAACTGCAACCGCAAATTTCCTCTCGCATTCGTCCACGGACATGAATGAGGAGGATGCCATTCAAGCATGACCGCATACATTTTAAATTCTTTTTCAGCAAATCGGATAAAATTCGTGGAAACAAGGCGGATTTCACATAGACATGGCGGATTTCATATAAACCGGACGAGGACAGATACATTTTAGACATATTTCAACTAAAAACTAAACTATGTGCACGTATGGTTGCATGGAGCTCCACTCCCACGACACGGATACACTACACTAGTCTATGGTCGGCCATGACTTGTCTTCCCCATGTCCGGCAGCCTGGAATAACCGGACTGCCGGGAGGCCCGAAGGCATGTTCTTCCCCCGTATCTTCCCTATGTCCGGTTGCGCCCCTCATCGGAGCGGCAAAGAGGGGTCAGCCGGATGGGAAGGGTGCTTCCGTGGAGCTCAGGCGGGTGCCCAGGGTGGTCCGAGATAAAGGAGAACCGGTAGGGTAACCGGCGGTGCCCTTCCTGGGACCCAAGCGGAGGTGGCCTCCCATGTTCTACTTCTCCTCGGTGATGGCGGCAGGCACGGACATGATGGTCGTCACCTCGTCCGCATCCGAGCAGCCGCCTTCTTTCTCTGTGTGCATGACGCGCCTACGCGCGCGTCGACGGCGGATGGCGTAGTCACAGGCACTGGACGCGGCGATGCCCGTGTCGCCGTGCTCCCCGACGTGCCGGGGTGGAGAAACTCGCCACTCCTCATCGAGTTGGCCTGGAGCGGCGAGTTGCTGAAGCACGCGGTGGCTTGGGGCGGCAACTTGCTCCGTCGGGTCACACGCGGGAGCTGGAGCAGCGAGTTGCCTCGCTCATATCCGGCAGGCTCGGCGGGACACCCAGCTGGCTTGTATGCCGAAGAACTGCTCTTCGAAAGCCATTGGGAGAGTGGGGAAGGAGGAGATGGGGGAGCGGCGGAGGGGTGTGGTTCTTGCCTAGCGTTTGGCCTCGTTTAAATAGAGGTTGGACAGGAGGAGCTCGGCCGACGTTGTGTTTAATGTCAATCCGCTCATGAATGTACGTGTGGCCAGGGTAGGTTTCTCGGCTTCCACGCAGGTTAATGGAGGCGTACGAATGTGGTGAGGAGGCGTGTTCAGCCGGGCGTGCAGTAGGCAGCACCCTCAGCCGGCGAGCCACTTCAATGGCGGAGGCAGTGAGAAGTCGCGTCCACCCTGAGCTGCCTTCAATGCGGAGCTGCGCACTCTACATCGACATGAATGCGGGCAACTGCCGTCGGGCGGGATGCGCGTGCGGGGGGGAGGGGGGTGGATGGGTTTTATGTGGACTAGGGCGGTCAGAAACGTGCTTGGGATTGGTTCGGACTCCCGCAAACCTCCCCCGCCTTTATCTCTGGTTTGTGGGAGAAATGCATCCGGACCGCACCGCGGACTGATACATGCCTACGTTAAATGGCTTTCGCGGTTCGGATGGATGCGGAAGGTTTGTGAGTCCGCCTTGAAGATGCCCTTAGAAGTTTATTATGAGAAAAATAACTGTGACAAATGCGGCAAAATTTTACTTGATCTTTGCATTAAATTTGCAACTACAACTCTGTGGCATAGTTTATAGAGTGTT